GTTCACATAATTTAGTTATCTTTTTAATGCAATGGTACATCTTGTCAAGATGTAGGGGAATGTTTTACAGTATCTGCAACCAGAGCATTCCATTACTACAAAAGTAGCCTAGTTTCCAATTTAAGTGAAAAAGAGTGAACAAAGTGATGTTCCACCACAGACTCATCAGAAAATATGTATATACAGTACTTCACTATTAAGTGATCCATAAATGTTCCTCTAGTTTATTAAGTGATCCATAAATGTTCCTCTAGTTCATTGGTAACTTGCAAATCCAAGATGACTCAAAATACACAGGGAATTAATAAAACACAGCTAGCAGTTCATGTACGGGCAACAATGCAAAAATCAGAATTACAAAAATTGATTGCATCTCTTCTCTACCCTCTCATCACACAAATTAAGATGCAAAGGGAGTAATTTAACAGTGAACTGCAAATTTTATAGAACAAATTTTGTACACCCCTAAAAATGAGCAAGCTGAACCACACTCTAGCAGTTCAACTAATAATTTACAAAAATGAGGGTTAATTATTAGTGAATCAGTACAGTAGTTTTTAATTTGCATGAAACAACTTGATCATCACAGGTTTTTTAAAATATCCAATTATGTATTAATGCATAGTTGCATTATCAGAAGCTGTTGGGGAGGAGGTTTCAGTAACTAGAGCTGGTCATTTGTGGCTTTTGGCACCTGGAGCGGCATGGCAGGCACATCAGAGGATATTTCTCTACTAAAATGATCAGTAAACATTACAATTTAAAGTTGCCATCTTCAAGTTTCAGAGTTAACAGGCCACTAAGATGAATGGGAGCAGGTCACATCTCTGACTCCTTTAGGTTGTGTGCAGACCTGAAGACATGTCTGTGTGTACTTTATTCATGTTCTCAAAGTTGTCACAAGGACTCGAATTGTTATTTTAAATGTAAACTTTAGATTCTGGAATTGATGTCTGCTGCAAGGGAAGGATTCCATAGTGGCAGAATCTTAGAAAAGAGTCATGACTATACATATCATGTACTCCAAACAAGTATAGTTTTACCCAGAAAAAGGGAAAATAATTGGTTTGTATAGTCATTTTAGACTGAGTGCACTTTAGGGACAACTTCAAGTATCATCAAAAGACTGTCCAATGAGAACTTGTGGGTAGTGTACTATGTTATCACAGAGACTTGGGTCCTATTGTCTAGTTCCATCTCGCACAGAATAATAAGAGGATACAGAGGTAGTCCAGGGTATTGCTTTGCAGCGATTGTTATGGCTAAGTAAGGAGCAGAGCTGACAGACTCCAAAGACCCCATCCAACCCTCAAAGGAAGAACGCTGTGGAGGTGAAGCTTTTTCATGGAGGGTGCAGGAGAAGGGAAGGAGCATAACAACTTAAGTTCATGTTTGTCATAAATGAATCATCACATTTCCCAGTCAGAACACCATACAAGAGGCAAGTTACTTTCTCTTTCATTTGGGACAGAAAATGGTAGGTATGGAGGAAGGGAGTAAGTTAAGCAGCTTGCCTTTTTCGTATAAAAATACATCAGTAATGTTAATTAAAAAGTCAATACACAGTAGAAGCTAATTCTATAAGTTGTTTATTTATCACTGAAGAGAAACACAGCAGCAAATTCTGTGTTGGCTTCAATAAGACCAGATAGTTAATGATTAACATTGTTACTGCACCCCAAAATTGAAGTCAGTCAACACAGCCATTACTACAAAGCACTTGTTGAAAAGGAAAGCATTTACCCTGAAGACAAAGTTGGGGAAAAAAATCTGAACAATTCCTCCAAAACCACACATTTTAAATATGACAATATTTATAAATGCTTGAAAGGCATGAATTATCCAGTAATGGAATAAGCAGTTATGCTATTGGCAAAACAAAATACTCAGCAGTATGTGGACCATAACGCTTGAGTTCTAAAGTCTAATGATGTTTTGTTGTTTCACACTGCAGCAATATTCCTTCTTAGAACGACTGCAAAATGGTTTCATATGCATTCAAGTAAAATCATAGAAAATATCCCAGTGTAGCTAATGTTCAGAATGTTTATTGTAATTTATTTAAATTTAAACAACTTACTGAATTCAGATGATAAAATACCTCACAAAAACCTCTTGCCCTCAAAAATACCTCAGTAGGGGAAGGGTTTTTATAGTTGATCTTGGCCAATTATGGAAATTAATCCAGCTCCATCTTTTCAATAATGTGACCATTTTATGTGAGATGTGTTTTCAACTGCATGTTCGGTGATATAAATCATACCCCATTCCAAATTAAGAATTATATATTTTAAAAAAAGATCCATTTGTTTTAGTTTGAGATATAAGTGTTGCTCAAGATAGCTACAGAGTTCACATTTTTATTTTAGCAACAAGTGATCTGTGAAATATGCAACATTTGTCACTTCAGAAACTGGCATTCAATTTCCAACCTTCTGCTGCTAGTTTTGTGCATGATCAATCTATATATGAGTAAGTAATACAGGCTCATGCTTTTATGTTATCTCAAAACATTTGTCAAAGAATACCAATTCCGAATGTTTATAAAGCACAAATATAATAATCTGTGGATTTGCTCAAATCAACCCTAAAACACCTGTTTAAACTGTGTTTAGTTTTTGAATTAACGTCGTACAGTGGTCCATCCATCTTCATCTGTTTCATTTTTAGTGCGACGAAGAGATTCTCGTTCTTTTTCTGTTCTCCAGGACCCCTTCTCGCTCTCTGCATCCCTCTCCCTATCTTTTGAAATAGGAGGAGCAGCGGGAGCAGCAGCAGGAACAGGAGTAGGAGCCGGAGCTGGAGCCAGAGCCGGAGCCGGAGCAGCTCGCCGGATAGTTTCACGCTCTTCCCCACGTTCTTCTTTTCTGTCGTCACCACGCCGCCATGAACTCGCTAAAAATGCGCAAGATCATTAGAAACCACTTTTTTTGTATTACTACAGTCCCTTACAAGAGTTTAAATCAACAAGCCCAGCACTGATAGTTTAATTTAGTGGTTCTCAAACTTTGCCATACTGGAACCACTGCTCCCATGTAACAACACAGATGGTGGTGACACCCAGGTTCAGAGCCCATGGTTTAATTTTAATTATTGTAATGAAAGCCTGCCAATAGTAACCTGTTGTTTTTTCAGTTGCTCAGAACTAGCCTTAATCTGGCTAGAGCTCTGTCTAATGTACATTATAATAAAGTAACTGTTTAGTTAAAAAACAAACAAAATAAATAATTATTAGCCCATAAGTATCAAATCTTGACACTTAAAATATCTGGCTAGAAAACAGTCGAGTTTCATAACAAAATGAATCCTAAAAACTGAAAACCCCCAAATTTTATGTGAACGGGGAGGTTTTAGGTATGCCCGGTCTCAAAAAACCCCAGCAAATAGTATCAGCTTGTAGGCAAAGATAAAAGTAGCAGAAGTTTCACTGGGTTATTAACACCTCATTCTGCACACAAGAGTGTGCGGGAATGCTAAACTGCATAGGAAACTACTTATTTCACAGTAGAGATAAGAAGGTGAAGAACATAATCAGTTTTACAATAATGAGGAAGTTAAATGGAAAACACTTTCAAATACCAAACTTAACATAGTATAAAAAAAGAATCTCAGCGCTGAAAACCAGTTCCTCCTCCTTTCACTTGTCAGGAGGTCTTGTGCGGCATTTTCTGCACCATTTTTATCAGTTAGGACCAGATTCAGGGCAGCATCCCTATTCTGGATTGAAGCAAATGGGACTTAAGCACATGCACTGTGGGTGTAATGAGGGAATGTACTCATGTGTGAGTCAGATGTAGATTCAAATCCCTCCTCTAAATTAGGCAGAGAGAAGATTTGAATCCACATCTCCAACTCTCTCTTTGGCTCAATATTTAAGTTTTTCTGCAAAATGGAATTGCTTCAATAGGAAAGACTAAGAGCAACCCACACCAGAACAGCTTGTAACGCGGTGATTAGGGTGCTCACATGGGTGCAGTGGTGGAGGCAGGACTTCAAGTCTCTGCTCCAGAATGGGGATTTAAACCTGGGTCTCCTGCATCCCAGGCAAATGCCCTAACTACAGCGCTAAAGATTGTAAAGGGGGATGGACTGACAGATTGTTTTCAGGCCAGCAAACTTTTGTGAATAGCCTCAGGCCTGCCAACGGTGCATGTTTTGGTGAATAAAACTATTTGCCCCAAAACATTTCACCCAGGACTCCTAGTGACATTTTTAATAGTCTCATTCTTTCATTTCTGATCTATATCCCAAATGACAAGAATCTACTGGGATACAAATTATTTAAATAAAATAAATAAATAAATAAATAAAAATAAAATACAGGGCCAGATTCGCTTTACACCAGGGCCCCTTCCCTTTATACCACTCCGACAGTATGGACTGACAGTAAAAGGGACCTTAACTGGGTATTTATGTAATTTACTCCACTTTAAGGCCCTTTTACATTACCAGACCGATGTAAAGGGGCTATTAGTGTAAGCCCTGGTCTACACTGGGGGGGGCGGGGGGGGGGGGGAGAGAAGAGGTAATTGATCGAAGTTACGCAACTTCAGCTACATGAATAATGTACTTAGATTGACTTTCCGTGGTGTCTTCACCGCGGTGAGTCGACTACTGCCGCTCCCCAGTCGTCTCTGCCTGTGCCTCTCGCGGCGCTGGAGAACAGGAGTCAACGGGAGAGGGCTCGGGGGTCGATTTATCGCGTCTAGACTAGATGTGATAAATCAATCCCCGCTCGCCAATCCGGCAGGTAGTGTAGACATACCCTAAATGATCCCCAGTGACAAATATTTCAACTAGTATGGGGAAACAAACATACTTTCTTCACGGTCTGTTCTGATTGGAGGTCCTCTTCTATCTCTATCATCAGCACGCCGATCTCTCAGGTCACGACCACCCCGGTCATCTCTCATGTCACGACCACCTCTATCCCATTCGTCTCGACGACCTGAATCTCTCCAGCTGGAAACTTCCTCAGCTGGTCCTCTTCTCCAGCCAGCCTCATCCCTTTTGCCATTTAAAAATAAATAAAAGTAAGACTAACCCTTTATACTCTGGCTTCTGCTGCAGTGAACCCAGCAGTGTTAAAAACGACAAGTTATTTGAAACAGATAGTTTCAACGTGATGCTGTACCAGGCACACAGCACCATTTATGAGAAAAAATTATTGGAGTGTTTAAAGTTAAGATTTCATTTTAGTGAAACCTAAGGTCAACGCTCAATCCTGACTAAGAAAAGGACTGCAATCATACACATCTATCCTGATATAACGCAGTCCTCCAGAGCCAAAAAAATCTTACCGCGCTATAGGTGAGACCACATAATATCATACTTGCTTTGGCCCCCCTGCTCCTTGTCCCCTCCAGAGACCCCCCATCCCTAATCACCCCCAGGACCCCACCCCCTACCAAACCTCCTGCTCCCTGTCCCCTGACTGCCCCGACCCCTATCCACACACCCCAGCTCCTGACAGGCACTCACTGGCAACAGCGGGAAGCGGAGCAGCCCGGCCCCAGGCCGCTCCTCTCCACCAGCTCCCAGCGGTGGTGCTCCGCTTCCTGCCGCAGGTGAGTATCGGGGGTGTCCTTTCCCTAACCTCCCTGCACTCACCAGCGGTGGGAAGCGGAGCACCCTGGCTGGGAGCTGAAGCACTGATCCGCGGGAGCACTGCTTTACCGCGTTGTATGCAAACCTGTGTTATATCAGTTCGCGTTATATTGGGGTAGAGGTGTATTTAAAAGCGAGTAGTAAAACATTTTGTGGCTGCTTCTGGGAACAATTAGGGTTTTCTAAACAATATAATTTGTTTATTGCTTTAAAGATGTAACTAATTTCACAAAAGAGAAAAAAGCTGATGACTTTTACAAAACTCCTATCAATATTGTTAACAATAGAAAAATCAAACCTTGGACGTCTGAAGCGATCATCCCGATCAAGGTCACGATCTTTGTCAAACTCGCGATCCTTTTCGTTTTCATCAATATCTTTATCTCTATCCAACTCGCGGTCTTCCGAAGGTCTGGAGTCTCGCGGGGGTCCCCAGCTGTCTTCACGAGCTTTCTCTCGTTCTCTCCATCCACCTGTTAGTAACAAAAGGAATCAAATTATTTTCTGACTAAACTTGGAGTAGTCGAGAGAGAAGGGTTTACTTGCCTTCACAGTAACTGTGATTCTGCTTCAAGTTTTTGTCCATTTGGCTCCCACCTTGAGTGGGATCCACAAAGACTTGAAGAAGTACCTATGTAATGTAGGTCAGGTGCCTCATTCACGTGAAGAAATCCATACTCCCCATAGTAGTTCAGCAAAGGGCTTAATAAAATCTGTATTTTTTAGGGCATGTCTTCACTAGCAACGTTAATGCGCTGCTGCGGCAGCGCTTTAACGTGGCTGTGTAAAAAAACACCTCCACGAAGGGAATAGCTCCCAGCGCTGGTGCACTGTCTACAATGGCACTTTGCAGCGCTCGGAGGGGAGGGGGGCTCACTGACAGAAATGTCAAAATAAACACTAAGTAACAGGGCATTAGCATAACCCTCAAACGGCCCTGGCTTCCTCAGCCCTGTCTACAAGGGAAAAAGATTTTAAACATGTTGAACTTTATCAGAAATCATCATTAATTTGGGGATCATGGCTACTACATTTAAAATTTGAATTACTATTATTTCCAATCAGATCAATTTGCCCGATGCCTCTTGCGATACCACTCAATGATCTAGGATTCTCAGTTGCATGTATTAGTAGTACTCCTCTATTACACATTGTTCATCCTGTCTTTCTTCTGGAGGGAGAAAGGAAAAGCTTTTGGAGGGTGAGCACTGGGGTTTATTCACTTATGATCATGTTGGAATTGGATTTCAGAATTATCTTAGTTACTTAAATGTTTCCATTTAACATCTGTGCTTTTTCTTAATTACAGCTTTAAAAAAGTGACCAGAAGATGATAAACGTATTGGCGATACACTCAACAGTTCAGACCTAGCTAAGCACTACAGGAAATCAGAAAACAACTGTAATAGCCATTACCAGCTAAGACTTCAAATAACTGACTGGAAATATTTTTTGCATGCTATAAATAAAAAGATTCACAAAACCACAGAGGTACCAAAGTCCAACTTATTGGCTGATGAATTCCAAATTCTCTTTAAAAGAGGCTGACCTCTGGGATAGTTTAAAAAGGAAAGGGAGCCAAAGCTGCATTAGTCTAGTAAAAAGCTGATTCTGCCCCATGAGGGCATTAAAGTTTTTATTTCACATTGGTTAGTTCACAAGACAAGTGAATTCCCAGCATTAATATTTGACCTTTAAATATTTGCTACAGAAGCAATAAATATTGATTTAAAAAAAACCCTAAAAAAACCCCAGTAAAATGAAAAGGATCATTTAAAATGAGAGGGGCATCCAAATTAGCCAGATTGATCCAGCCATTTGCAACAGAAAATTAATAGACTCATACTGATTCCTAGTTTGAACTAGAGCGTATCTTTCAGAAACACACCTAATCTTGGTTTAAAAATAACACACAGAGCTAGATCCAGTTATTTCTTCTATCTCAAGTATCTAGTACTTAATATACATCTTACTAAACTCAGCTAATTTCATTTTTGGAAGAGGGATAGAATTATGAAAAAAATCCATAGTTTAATTACAAAATTATTTTACCTGGTTTACCAAATGGTCTCCAAGGACCAGGTCTTGAATCATCACCACGCCTGGGCCCTCTGTCATCATCCCCACCACGCCATGGACCTCTGTCTTCATCACGTCTTGAGAGTCGATCCTCATCTGCACTACGCCAGGGGCCTCTGTCTTCATCTCGTCTGGAAATTCTGTCATCATCCAGACCCCGCCTAGGTCCCCTGTCGTCATCCAGACCACGCCTAGGTCCCCTGTCATCATCTGCAGTGCGCCAACTCCCCCTGTCATCATCCAGACCCCGCCTGGGTCCCCTGTCGTCATCCAGACCCCGCCTGGGTCCCCTGTCGTCATCCAAGCCACGCCTGGGTCCCCTGTTGTCATCTGCAGTGCGCCAAGCCTGGGTCCCCTGTTGTCATCCAGGCCACGCCTGGGCCCCCTGTCGTCATCCAGGCCACGCCTGGGCCCCCTGTCGTCATCCAGGCCACGCCT